AAAAACAATGAGACAATGTGAGGTTGCAAGGCTGTGAAGGGCAGAGGTTTTATCCATATCAGCACAGTCTGCAGGAGTGTGACAAACATGAATGTATGAATGTACTTGGCTTTGGAGACAGGCTTCCTGGATTTGAACTTCAGCTTTGTCTCTTACTAGCTGCATGACGTTGGAAATATCACTTAATCTCTTTGAACCCCTCAACTATAAAATGGGGAAAGCTTACTTTATAAGGGCTGTTGTAAGAATAAACTGAGAAAATCCTCATCAAGAATTCAGAACAGTTTCTAGAACGTAATACACAATAAATGTCAACTATTATTATTGTGATTTAGATACATAGGTGAAATAAGAACAGATATTTAAGCATATACTATGGCATTCAAATTTTGTAGATGTTTTGCTATATTCTACTTCTAAAAGTAGTTCAAGTCAGTGGTTTGGACTGGCTGTGCAAACACTGTTTAAAATGGTGTCATATTGATGGGAGTATATTCAGCTATTACATCTTCTGGAAAATGTGTGTCAACTAAGGCACTGCTTCACTCAAAACATCCATCTTTTATTCCTCGTTCATAAGGGGAAGCAGCAGGAAGAGATTTGCAACTAATATTTTTGTCTTTATTATTCACTTTCTCAATACACCTTTCTTGTTAATATTATAATTATTCTTCACACAGAACTTACCATATTTCTATTCTCCCACACTAGCTAATCTTGCTTACAGAAGAAAAAAATTAACCTCTTAACATGACCTTCAAGGCCCCCACAATCTAGCCTTAGCCTATGTTTCCAACTTGTTTGATTACTTCCCATCACAAATTTGATACTCTTGCCAGACTTGATTATTCACCCAGTTCATCATGTATTTTCATTTGCTCACTCCTTCATTTATTTTTTTCATTCAGATACTTTATAATTGCTTACTATATGCCAGAACTTTGCTAGGTGTTAGGGATTAAAGATAAAAAGAATGCACAGCCTTGTTTGCATTCGTACAGAATGAGCCCAACATGTGAAAGAAGAAGAGCAAATGGAGAGGAGATACAAATTTAAAAACAGAGTGAGTCCCATGGATGCTGAGTTTCTGCCCGAGTCCCTGAGGTCATGGTTCCTGGTGCACTTCCTTCACTTCCACAAGTGACCGTCAACATCTCACCCACAGGAGCCAATGAATCCCTACGTGGCTTTAGCAAGTTTGAGTTGAGTAACTAATTTTGAGTTGAAAGAGTCCCTACTGATACTTTAAGAACTCTGATGTAACACGGTCAGGCAATGGGAGCTACAGAGAAATTCTGAGATGCAAAATGTTTTTAAATAGTTCAAAATGTATTATTAGATCAAAAGTGTAATAAAAAAGTGGTTCTAGTGAACTGTACAGAAGACGGATTCAAAGAGACCATTTAGGCACCTCTTCTGCTATTCAAGGATTGAGTGCCTAGTCCTTAGAGAATTTCTGACTATTGAAATAATCCACCAAGGCCTAGTTCATTTGGCACCTCTTCTATAGCGTCTTTCTGATCCCACTCTGCTGGCATGAATGGTCCTTTGTTCTGCATTCCTGCAGCACTTACTTCCCTTGTACCTCTGACACCATGGGTCTCCTAATTCAGCTGCATCAGAATCACCTGGAGGGCTTGTTAAAACTAGACTGCTGGGCCCCACCCTGAGAGTTTCTGATTCAGAAGGTCTGGGGTGGGACCTGAGGATTTTAACAGGTTCCAGGTGATACAGATGCTAATGCTCCAGGAGCTACTGCTCTAACATATTTCACTGCCAGCTGTGTTCTCTTTCCTTTACTCATCTGCATCCCCCCCCCCCCCCGTTAGGTTAACGGTTCCCTAAGGATTCTCTTATTCATTTTTGTGAAATTCCCAGGAGCTAACATAAAAGCTTACACAAAACTGGTATTTGATATGATGTGTGATTAACAATGGAGAGAAGATAAACATTTTACCATAATAAATTCTCTTAGTTACAATCTAGATTCCCTCAAAAAAATGAACTGTAACTAGAGAAAATATCAAAAGGCAGAATATATTCTGACCTCTCATGGGCTGCCTAATTTTGATTACTTTTTTTTTTTTGAGAGAGAGAGAGAGAGTGTGCGCATGCAGAGCCTGATGCTGGGCTCAATCTCACTACCCTGAGATCAGTATGTGAGCTGAAATCAAGACTTGGATGCTTAACTGACTGAGCCACCCAGGCAGCCCCTGATTGTATCTTCCATTTGATTTCTTTTAATCCTTGCACATAAAGCACAATGATTATTTTCAAATATAAGAAAGCTTGAGATGCATGATCTTAGAGATGACTAGCACTTTTCTTCCTCCTGCCATGTATTTCTATTTCCTCTTGATTTAGCTGGCATCTGACAGCCCAAGGGAGAAAACCTTTAAAGCATTTTCTCATCCCATTATTTAGAAATACTGATCAAACTAACTTCCTTTGTAGCTGTTCTTATGGCAAAACTTTCTGTCCCTTTAGGCTTTGTTGCCTTACAGCTATTTAAAAACATCTAGGAATAAATTTAACTAAGTAGGCAAAAGACCTGTATACAACAACAACATGACACTGATGAAACAAACTGAAGACATAAATAAAGGGAAAGATATACCATACTCATGGATTGGAAGAATTATATAGTTACAATGTCCAAGGCAATCTACAGTCACTGCAATCCCTATTAAATTTCTAATGGCAGTTTTCACAGAAATAGAACAAACAGTTCTACAATTTGTATGGAATCACAAAAGACCCCAAATAAAGAAAGCAGTCTTGAGAAAGAAGAGCAAAGCTGGAGGCATCACACTCCGCTTTCAAACTATATCACAAAGCTATAGTAATCAAAACAGCATGTGGACACACAGATCATTGCAACAGAATAAAGAGCCCAGAAACAAACTTGAGCATATATGGTCAATTAATTTGCAACAAAGAAGTCAAGAATACTTGGGGAAAGTGGGGAAAGGAAAAAGGAAAGTCTCTTTAATAAAGGGTGCTTGGAAAACTGTACAGCCACATGCAAAAGAATGAAACTAGACCATGATCTCACACCATGCACAAAAATTAACTCAAAATGGATTAAAGATGAATATAAGACCTGAAATCATAAAACTGCTAGAAGAAAGCATAGGCAGTAAGCTTCTTGACATCAATCTTGGTGATTATTTTTTGGATCTGACACCAAAAGGTAACAAGAGCAAAAATAATCAAGTGGGATGATATCAAACTAAAAAAGCTTCTGCACAGCAAAGAAAACCATCAACAAAATGAAAAGTCCATCTGTGGAATGGGAGAAAATACCTGCAAATCATGTATCTGATAAGGGGTTAATATCCAAAATATATGAAAAACATACAATTCAATAGTAAACACAATCTAATTTAAAAATAAGCAGATCTGAATGGACATTTTTCTAAGGAAGATACAGAGATGGCCAACAGGCACATGAAAAAATGCTCAACATCACTAATCACCAGGGAAATGAAAATCAAAACCACAAGGAGATATCACTTCACACCTGGTAGAATGGCTATCCTCAAAAAAAAAAAAACAAGAAATAACAAAAGTGTTGGTGAGGATATGGAGAAAAGGCAAACCTTGTGCAATGCTTGTGGAAATGTTAAGTTGACACAACCATTATGGAAAACATTACAGAGGTTCCTCAAAAAATTAAACACAGAACTACCATATGATCCAGCAATTTCACTTCTGGATATTTATCCAAAGAAAACAAAAACACTAACTTTGAAAAGATATATGCACCCTCATGTTCATTGAAGCATTATTCATAATAGCCAAGAAATGGAAACAAGCTAAGTGTCTACAGATAAGTGAATGGATAAAATCTGGTATATATATGTAGACTATTATTCAGCAACAACAAAAAATGAAATATTGCCACTGGCAACATCATGGATGGACCTTGGGGGCATTATGCTAAGTGAAATAAATCAGGCAAAGACAGACAAATACTGTATGATCTCACTTATAAATGGAATCTAAAAGAAACAAAACAAAACAAAAATAAAAACCAAAGTCGTAGGGGCGCCTGGCTGGCTCAGTCAACAGAGCATGTGACTTTTGATCTTGGGGTTATGAGTTTGAGCCCCATGTTGGGTACAGAGATTACTTAAATCAACAACAACAACAAAAACAAGCTCATAGGTAACAGAGAACAGACTGGTGGGATTGTCAGAGGCAGGAGGGGTGGGCAAAATGGGTGCAAGTTGTCAGAAGGTACAAATTTCTAGTCATAAAATAAGTAAGTCCAAAGAAACCATAATGGAAATAAATTTTTCATATGCCATAAACAAACGAACAAGTTAGTCAGTCCTGGTGAGGTAATGTACAGCATGGCAACTATAGTTAATGATACTGTATTACATATTTAAAAGTTGCTAAGAGAGAAAAGTCTTAAAAGTACCCATCACAAGAAAAAAGAAACTCTGTAACTATGTGTAGTGATGAATGTCATCTCGACTTACTGTGGTGACTGTTTGCAATATACACAAATATCGAATCATTATGTTGTACATCTGAAACTAATATAATGTATAAGATAAAAGAATAAAAACCCTAGGTTTAAAATTATTTTTTAACCATGTCAGTAAATTAGATTTTTGTGAATTAAAAAATAGCATGGAGCCTACCTTAAACCCTGGGAGACAGGAAAGGCCAGTCTGCATGGGATTCTGGGCATTCAGATCAGCTCTCTGTTTTCTTTATTGGAAATGACATCCTCTCTTTTGTGAGCTAATGTGGGTAGGTGATAAAATCAAATATGCCTAGAAACAATATTCTGTTCTTACTTTACCTTTCTCATTGTCTCTACACGCCCCATTGGTAACAACGGGTAATGACACACTTCTTGTGCTTTTTTTATTTAGACTGATCTTTATAATTCTTATTGCATCTCCAGGTAATGGAGTAGAGTTTTAGAAACCTGGATGCAGTATGTAAGGTATACAGAGAAAAGATCTGTAGAGTGGCATTACCTTAAACATCCTGTGACGTTGTAAAATATATCAAAATCAAGCAAACCGTTAGCTTTAGGGTAATCTCCTTCTGGCCACCCCGAGAAGGGAATGATGATATTCTCAGTCAGGATAAGCAAGGCTTCTGTTATCATGAGATTCTTGAGTTTGTCATTAGATGACAAATTCCACAGCAAACCTAGAAAAGCAAAGAGTACTATCAAAACAGTGCAGGGATGGGTCAAATGACTGCTGAAAAGATGAATTAGGGCCAGCATCCCCCCAGGCTGTGGCTAGCTGTTTGGAAAAAAGGGGGAGCGAGAGAGCCCCTTTCCCAACCGAAAGAATCGGTTTAGAGTTTGTTAGATGGCAATGAAGCCGATCCACAATGAGAGAGAGAGATTATGATATAAAATTATGCCAGTTTAAATCAATCAGGAATGTGAATGAAAGTTAGAAATCCTTTAACATTTATGTTGTTTCTCTTAAAAGATCCTACCATTAAGCTGACCTCACTGAGATAATAAATTCTGGTCTCATTAACATGGAGGCTGGAAACGATCCTATTTTATTAAAGACTTCAATGTTTTTATTTTATTTTTTTAAAAAATATTTTACTTTTTTTTTTTTTTAGTAATCTCTATACCCAACATGGGGCTTGAACTCACAACCATGAGATCAAGACTTACACGCTCTACCGACTGAGCCAGCCAGGCACCCAAGTGTTTCTTCTGTAGAAGCAGGAGAGAATATCTCCCTCTGCCTCCCGCTCCCCACTACCTGCAACTTCCACCTGATATTTGCCTCCCAGTGAGAGCAGAAGGGCCCACAGAAAGCCTTTGCCTGTACCCATGCCTGTCACCAGTAGGCTGATCAACATTACCAATTAATACTTATTAAATCCTATCCAATGATAGACTTTCTGTCCTCCTGGAATTTATGCTAGCTACCTCACGTATTTCCTACATTATAGTTCGGCAGTGAAGGAGATACAAGAGTATTTGATCTATTTGCCGACGTGTATGGCCTAAAGCATTGGCCTAAGGCTGGTACCACTGTCCTCATTCAACTTTCCCTTTCCTCTTGAAACGTCTCCACCTGACCCGCCATTAAAGAGAAAGGCTATATAAGCCAACTCAGAAATAAATTAAAAGAACAGCATACTGTACTTTCCAGGGCCTTTGTGAGACAGAGCCTGAAGCTGGGTATCTCAGAGAGAATACAAAGTGGCACCATACATTTAGGATTTGTTTTTCTTACAAATTTGGCATTCAAATACTTCCGATTCAGTGGAAAGACTATGCATCTCTCGCTGGCTATTCCAGTGACTCCCAGCAGGTGTCAAGTTGCCTTAGCTTCCTTCATCCCTCCGTGAATGACTCTAACTCACTAGCATCCAGGAAGGCAGAAAGAGAGAAGGGGCGGAAAGAGAAGGGAATCTTCATTTTCTTCCCTATTCATGCCCCTACCACCCAATCGGTAATTCTTACTTTTAAAATGTACTGCTTTGTCTGCATAAAAGAAAGCAGGAGCACAGGTATACAGGACAGCCTACCTTGTGAAAAAAGCGAAGGTGTTTTTTTTTTTGGCTGAATTATGTGGTGATATCATCAGCCCTGATTTTAATGACTGAAATAATTGTCCGTGTGGTTAAAGCTTGCTAATTATTCAACCATACTAATACTTGGCCCACCATTTAGAACACTTGAGGCCAAACACAGTCTTTTGACCTTCACCAGTTCACTCTGGTTGTGTACCAGTACGTAATTTCTGAAACAATAACCAAATTCCCACTGCAGCCTACACTGAGCTTCCGTCAGATAGAGAGACACTGGGTCTAGTGTCTTGTGAGGACCAGCATTCTGGCTCAGGTCTTCTCCTGATCCAACTCGCACTGGGGATTACTCAGGAGCAGTGTCCCTCAGCCACAGGTTTTGTAACACAATGACTTCATTCCTCCCACTTCATCTTGAGGGGCGCGGGACAGGGGGAGTGACAGAATAAAACTCCAAAGGTGGTTGAAAACAATTTAGAGGCAGGTCTGAGGTTGAGTGGTCTGGTTACTAAGCTACTAAAGGAAGTTAAAAAGAAAAGAGAGAAAAGGAAAAAAAAATAGCTTCCTGTTTTAAATAAACAAACAAAGTAACAGTCTCTGCTTGCCAGAGGCTTAAAAATGTAAAGTATAATGACATTTCCTCTTTTTAAAAAGGACCACACAGGGCACTCAAAGGAAAAGTATACCTTACAATAAAAACCAGAAGAGGATTAATTTTAAACAAAGGGAGTGGAATTTTCCCTCAACGGTCGGATGTCCTTCATAGCTTGGCATGCAGTATTACTTCCATAAAAGAATCTGGCTTGGGAATGTCAGTATAAGTTTTGAATTTTTAATGTAGGATATTGTATAGAAATGTCATGCCTGCCAAATTTGTGTATGGCACGAAGCTAGGAAGGAGCTTAAGTGTTCACTAGAAATTCGGGATTATACATACTTAGACACTTCCCCTACGTGTACACACAAAATCAATAAAGGACCAATTGCAAATTGGGAAAATATGTATGACAATACGAGGTTAATAGCCTCAATATATAGAGTTCTTATAAATCGCTAAAGATTCAATTGCTAGAAAAATTAACCCAATCTAAAAAATGTTAGAATCTAATACACATAGGAATGCATTTTCTCTAGTAATGAAAGAAATGCAGGTTTAACAGCTAGATATCATTTTTTGTGACTATAAGAAGGCAAAACCAGAACTAATGAGTGGAAATTCTAGGGAAAAAGATTCTGGCTCACTGAAAATACAAACTTCTAAGAGAGCTTTGAAGACAACAGAAGACCTGCTTGTAAGATCCAGCTTTATCGCTGGAGCTGATAAAAAATGAGCTCATCCTTTATGAAAACATTGACAAGGAGTTTTTTTTACCCCCAAGCTAGAGTGGTCCACTAGCCTAGCAGTTTCCAAATGAACTTAGTGGCATATCTGAATCACATATTTCTGGGCCACATCCCAAATTTACTAGCCAGAATCTCAGGATGGCTCTCAGGAATCTGTATTTTATAAAAATGATTTCCATGGCACCTGGCTGGCTCAGTTGGTAGAGTGCATGACTCTTGATCCCAGGGTCATGAGTTTGAGCCCCACGCTGGGTGTAAAGATTACTTAAAAAAATGATTCCCATTTCTGGCACTGAGAAACGAATGGGCCAGATGACCCTTGATAGAGGTTCCTTTCGATGACTTGATTCTAGATGCCCTGAGCTAGTATTAGGGTTTAGGTTTTCATTGGTCTCACCTTTAACTTCTAGTTAATTTATTCATAGTGCCTAGATCTCTATTATAGTTCTTCGTGGCAGCCGATAAGCCTGTCATTTTCTATCACTAAGTTCTCATTTGAGCCAAAAAGAAAGAGAAATGGATTCTGGTAAGGGATATACTTTGAATAATTAGCACTTGTAACAGAGATAGTAATAACTGCATTATCCAGAAATTTATTGCCAACTGTGATATTTGCAAAAAATAGCTAACTATAGTAAAGGGATCTTATAAAATATTAAAATCCATGTTTTATTAATATTGCCCTTTAGGACTAGAAATATAGTTATTTAACAAAGTCTGCATGATACTTTGGTAGCAAAAACTGCAAGTATTATGACTAAATAAATCCCTATTATCAGTACAGAGGAGAAGGAGGAACAGGAGAACTGGTGTGTTTTAACCTCGTTTTGCAAAGTGATCACAGAACAGGAGGATTTTTTTTTTTTTTTTAATAATTTCCCTTGCATGGATGGATCTACTCCTCTCACCTAAGTTTTGTAAATCTCGCCTGAAATACCACACTATTGCAAAGGCCATTTAGTCTGAGTTATATATGAACCCAAGGTAACCTGTTGCACATTACAAATGAAGAAAAAAAACAATTATTTTTAAAAGGTGCATAATGGGGCGCCTGGGTGGCTCAGTTGGTTAAGCGACTGCCTTCGGCTCAGGTCACGATCCTGGAGTCCCGGGATCGAGTCCCGCATCGGGCTCCCTGCTCAGCAGGGAGTCTGCTTCTCCCTCTGGCCTTCCCCCTCTCATGCCCTCTCTATCTCATTCTCTCTCTCAAATAAATAAATAAAATCTTAAAAAAAAATAAATAAAAGGTGCATAATGAATATTTTACAGTAAAATGTTTCTGCTATTAAAATACAGCAATCCAATTAAATATTCCCATTAAACATGCAGAGGTGAATATGCATTTTCGACAAATTCCATCAACAATCATCCCGACCCTTCCTTATGTGACATGCAGGACAAGAATCTCCTGCTTCATTCTTGCCAAGGCAGAGCCCTACTCGCTCCTCAAAGTCCTCATTACTCAGTGACCCTGAAGATGAACCTCTGAGATCAGTATGTACTGTTCTCATTTCAATTAAAGTACACTACCACGCTTACTTGGTAAGGGAGGGGAACAACCTTGTAGAGGGAAAGTCTTTGATCCTGAAGTCTTTTCACCTGAAAAGGAAAGAGCTTCCCTCCTCATCTGGTACTGAAAACGCCAGGAGGGTTAGTGAACAAAGCTCTGGTGCTTCTTCTATGCATATATAGAAATCAGATGGTTAATGGTTTTATATCTTGGCCAAAAAAATCAGGGTCTTATCTGAAAACACACTTGATTCTCTTATTTGTGTGTAATCTAGATATTCCCAGGTCACAAACCTCTTTTTTTTAACAAAGATTTTATTTATTTATTTTTAAAAAAATGTATTTATTTGAGAGAGAGAGAGAGAGAAAGCACGAGAGAGATCAAGCATGAGTGAGGGGGAGGGGCAGAGGAAGAAGCAGGCTCCCCACTGAGGAGAGAGCTGGGTCTCAGGACTCTGAGATCATGACCTGAGCTGAAGGGAGATGCTTAACCAACTGAGCTACCCAGGTGCTCCAAAGATTTTATTTATTTGAGAGTGTCAGTGGGAGGGAGAGGGAGAGAGAATCTGAGGCAGACTCCATGGTAAGCACAGAGCTTGACGCGGAGCTCGATCCCAGGAACTGAGATCATGACCTTGAGTGCAACCAAGAGTCAGACACTTAACTGACTGAGCCACCCAGGTGCCTCCACACGTCTCTTTTACATATTCAATCAGACAGCCACAGTTGAGAAACATGGAGGCATAGCACTGTTGTTATTGCAATAAACATACAGGCATGAAATAAGTGGCATCCTAATATTAAAGGGTGCAAAAGTAGTTCATTAGAAGCCTGTTCTTTCAAAACTCTGCTGGGGGGATGGGGGGAGACAGGGAGTAAAGTATGAGAGGATCGCATCTGAAAATGCTTCAGAGGAAGAGATGACTTTCGAAGGATGAGAGGGTTCACCAGGTGGTCAAGGTGTGGAAAAGGATGCTATCTAGTCCAAGGAACAGCAGAGACAAAGATACCAAGATGTGGAACAGACCAGCTAATCCTCTGGGATTTCAGAACCTGGGCTGGGAGGGTATGAGAGGAGACACTGCTGCCCATGGTCACCGGGCTCACATCATATCTTAGGGGTAGTGGGGAGCCCAATGGGGCAGTATTTTCATATTAGAAAGAAATCACTAGGTGCAGAGTGATGGATCGAGTGGGAATGCACAATACTGAATCAGAGGGCGGGTAAGAAGCAAATGTAGTAGTAGACCAGAGGCGTGAAGAGGACCGAAGCACGTCAGTGTTAAGTGGAAAGAGAGGAAGGTTCAGAGAGGAGTGAAGGAGCTCTCTGATCTGAGATTCTTAAAGACAAGCCCTTTCCCAAAGAAGTGTAAAAATGAGTCACTCTCTGCCCCCAAAGCAGTAGGTGTGAGCCACTTTCATAGAGCAAAACATCCAGATAAAGCTAGGTTCGAATCTGGGCCTTGTGCTCTGCTAGCTGTGTAATCCTGGGCAATCTACTCCCCCCGACCACCTTGCTGCGTGTCACGCTGATCATGAGGAAATCATCAACAATGCGTTAGGGAGATGTCGGGGGGCATAAAGATGAAAAATGGAAAGTCCTAACTTAGTGACTAGCATGTAAAAGGGGCTCAATAAAAAGATGTTCACCAAATAGACAAGATTCACATATATGGTTGCTCGCTTGTGTTTCCTTACAAAGATACAAACATGTCTACATTAAGTCAACAGTTTATTTCTGAGGCCCTGAAAGCACTTACTTAGCTGTTCTATTAATAGAGCTAAAGGAAGTTATTTCGAAGGATTTGTATCAAACATTCAAGTATCAACTCAATTCAATTAGCATGTAATGAGCACCCTCTGGTAGGGGTGCTTGGCTTGTTCTGGAAATCCTGAGAATTGCACAATAAACCTCCATTTATCAGCTCTGTAGATTATCTAAAGATAAATGAATGGTTTCTATGGCATTAATACCACAGAATGTTCTCTGACCGTAGTTTCCTATTGCCTAAACAAAAGAAGAGGAAGAGAGGTTCAATGGATTACTTCCTTGACACACACCCACAAATCCTTCCAAACTCTCTAGCTACAATATACCCTAACCTCAATACTCTATTATCCAACTCCCTCTCAATGACCAGCAGCTTCTTTTTGCTTCTTTGCTTTGCTAATGATGTTCACTTTCCTGGGAATAACTTTCACTGTCCTTCAAAACACCAAAGTGTATCCTATCCTTCTTTAAAAGTCCACAAGGAACCATATCTCCTTTGTGAAGTCTTTTTTTTTTTTTACTGTAAAACAGTGCATCTGTTTGATTCTCTCTTATGGTTGTCGTTACTATATTTTAATGAAGGAAATGTTAGGTTCTAACTATGAGGTTTGGTCTTTTTTTTTTTTTTTTTAAGTGCCAACCATCACATAATTGTTCATGTTTTAGTAGAGGGAAAAGAATGTCTACAGTCTCTCTAGACTGATTCTCATCGCCTGGCACTTGAAGGCAGTCCTGTAAACGCTGGCTGAATGCATGAATGAATCAATGAATGAGTGAGATCACCCTTAATTTCTGTAGGTATTTTAATATAAGTCATAAATATGGAAGGAAATTTCTCATGGGACAAGATAGCATGCTGGCAGAAGGGCAGCATGGTACGACCCTTCATACAGTTTTATAAAATTAAAATATATCAAGATAAAAAAATATGTGATTATTGTAAATAGAAATGGGCAGAGAAGATTGAATGGCAACATTTCTACAGAAAAAAAGAACTATTGGGGGTGCCTGGGTGGCTTAGTCGGTTAAGCGACGGCTCAGGTCATGATCCCAGGGTCCTAGGATCGAGCCCTGCGTCGGGCTCCCCGCTCAGCCTCAGGGAGTCTGCTTCTCCCTCTCCATCTCCCTCTCCCCACCTCCAGCTTGTGCTCTATCTCGCTATCTCTCTCTTCTCTTTCTCTCAAATAAATAAATTTAAAAATCTTTAAATAAAAAAAAGAAAAAAGAACTGCTTTATGGTAAAGTGGACATGGCAGAAGTGCAGAATATATTCAATTTAAAATAATATTTGTGAAATACCTCCTTTTAAATAAATAACACTGTCAAGCATTAGTACTTAAAAATACTTTTATAGGATATATTAAAAAGGTTAACTTCTTTGGGCTTTACTTTTCTCATTTATAAAAGTGAGATTTAATCACCCAATAATACCTAAAAATACCTCAGAACCTTTCCGTGATAATTAAATTAAAAATGTATGTTTACCACCTGGGCCACTGAAGCTACTTAATTAAAGTTTCCCCAGGGTAATCCTACTGACAATCGCAGTCTGTAATGTGTGCAGGGAGCACCAGCAGGGAGCTGAAGATGATGGCGAGGAGGGTGAGCTTGAACATCGATGCACCATTTTCTCCTCTACCATATGTACTATTCATTTAAATGAAACTAGGTCTCTCTTCTCCATGTTTCAAGGGTTACTAAAACTGTTGCTTTAATGCTATCAGATTATTTCATCCTTCTAATCTCTTGGGCAGAAAGAAGGTATTTATTTGTACAAATCAGTATTTTGAAATATGAAGTAGAGAACTAAAAAAAAAAACCACATCCAGCCACTTTCATCTTTTTTTCTTTTTTTAGGGTGCAGGATGGGTGGGCTAGGGAGCAGGTATTTTGAGGGGTCCAGGTAATGGAAGGATTGGGAAACATTTCCTGTATTTTGACTATTTGATTAAATTGACCCTCTACATTCAGGCACTATTTGACTCCCTGATTCGCTTTCTTCGCATAGATCCAGCGAGTGGATTACCAAGTATATAATAAAAATAACTGGGTGTGGTTCCTATTGAGTCTCTTCTGAATGAATGCCTTGGACACCCAAGGCAGTACTGAAACCTCACACATCCTCAAACTACACAACTGGCTGTTAGTAAACTGATGCGGGATTTCTAGGCTGTGAGTCTTGTAAAGTTGTTTTAAAAACATGTACTCAAAGTCAGTTTTTAATGAAAAATATTGAACAAAGCTTCAAAATAATTTCCCCTTCAGAAAAAAAGGAATTCCAACTTGACCTGAATCTGGGGTCTAACTCAGCAGGGTGACAATGTTCCCTGAAAGCCACCTCTCAGATAATGATGAGCCCATCAACCACTGGTTCCGGGAACCTTAAGAAAAAACAGATAACATATCCAGCTGGGGTACCCTGTCCTATGTCCTAAAATTCTGTAAGCACTACCTGTTATTTGTTTTTTAGTCTCCAAGTCCCTGGTTTGCTTCAGCACCTGCAGCAGCCGAGGTACCCCATTGAGTTCAGCCACCTCCAATTTGTTGTCATTGTCTTCAAATACCAAGTTTCTCAAGGCCCCACACACGGCTCGCTGAACATCTTCATTCTGAACTTTTAGGAGCTGTAGCAGCTTGGGGATGCCACGAAGCTGATTAACCTGGGAAAGAAATGCATGTGTATTTCAGATATTTATTCTGATGTGGCATTAAAGACATTGGTTGTAATATGAATGAACAGATGAAGTTCACTAATGTGGATTAGAACTCCCATCAAACAACAACGGAGACACAACCTGAGACGCACGGCATACAATACACACCTGCTATCAGGCAGTACCTCTCATCAAGGAGCTAACAATAAATTCGCGAAGGCTGAAACCTATGAGATAATTGAAGGGGAAAATGAAGTGACAGAAGGTAGGTAAGTGATAGCGAAGTGGATAGAAAGAGTTTAGTTATAAAAGCCTTGAGCATAATGAAGATGAACAGACCTGGGAATGCAAGGAATGAGGCGTTTTATGGAAGAACAGCACATTACATGAGTGTTTTTTCCAGGAAAGAATTTTACAGTCAATACAAACAAACAGACTCAATTTCATTAACAGTAGAAATAAAGATTCATTTACCATAGCAACGGTAGTAGCAATGCAAACTAATCCTAAATGCCAGCAATTTTTATGATCAATTGCTTTGGGTATTTAAAAAGATATATATAAAAATTATGCAAGCATTTTAATTTAAGTAAATAATGTAATTTTACACTTTTTGAGATGCTATTTTAGAAACATTTCTCCGATCCAAATATGCAAGAAAGAGTGTGCTGAGAAAGGGCCAGAACAAGGAATAGAAAAATAGATGATTTAGATTCTGAAATGGATGGTTGTTCAAGAAGACATCAAATAATGACAATCTGAGCAAAGTGATTTTATATTTCAGGCTGCAAATATTATCTAAAAAAATCAAGAGGTGGACATGGGTTGCTGAAGAGAAATGTTAAGTTGCAGACTGAGGGCTTTCCTTCTCATAGACTTCCACTGGCATCTGATGCAGAAAAATTTATTTGTTTTTTAGAGACAGCGAGACAGAGTGTGAGTGGGGAGGAGCAGAGGGAGAAGGAAAGAGAGAAATCCCAAGCACGCTGAGCGTGGAGCCTGATGCAGGGCTCGATCTCATGACCCTGAGGATCATGACCTGAGACAAAATCAAGAGTCTGATGCTTAACTGACTGAGCCACCCAGGCACCCTCAGAAATTTTTAGTAAGAACTTTTGGTAAAGATCTCAGTCATTTTCACCATCTTAATGCAGAAATTTTTAGGATATAACTGTTGTTGTGAATGGGCAGGTGTTTCCCTTTCGGATGAAGTTCATCACCTACAAATGATCCCCCAACTGCACAACAGTTCATGCTCTGGGCCTCATAACACCTTTTCATATTTTCTATGTATCATCAAATTCCAGTTTCCCTTTCATAGACAGATAAATGGTATTTAAGACATAATGTTCCAATTTGACATCTCCCTTTGTTAGGATTGGGAAGAAGACTAGCAAGGCAAGAATAAAGTCAAGGTTTAAAAATAGTAACTATAATAATAATAAAACAGATGATGACTCCTCCACCCACTTCCAGGTGTTATCTGATAAATAGCTTCTTAAGAACCTTAAGAGATTAAGTACTCTTGGGGCACCTGGGTGACTCAATCGGTTAAGCATACAACTCTTGATTTTGGCTCAGGTCATGATCTCAGGGATGTGGGATCCTGCCCTCGATCAGGCTCCATGTTGGGCATGGAGCCCTGCTTAAGATTCTCTCTCTCTCCTTCTCCCTCTGCCCACCCCTCTTCCTTCTCTTAAAAAGAGAGAGAGAGAGAGTAGTCTTTTGGTGCCTTTAAGGCTTTGCTGGTAGTAATGAGGAGTACCACTTCCATTTATTGCTCCCTTCAGAGACATTCATTTGCAGAACAGGACACAACTGGTAAACTGCTCACAGCAATTTTGTTGGGCCTATGTCTAGAACCATTCTAATATATTTGTGTGACAATGCCAATGAGAAAGAATACTTAGCTATCAATTAATTCTGGTCCAACAGATCATCTATTTGATCACTTCATCTGTTCTCATTATTACACTTCCTTAAAAGCAGAAAGGCACAATTTATTTTAAAACAGTCTGTAACTCACATGTTTCCCTAATTCCATCAATTTCTATTTCATAGTTAGGTTTTAAGATGGTTAAATTTACACTCTGTAAACTTCATAAATGCCACCTATACTAAATCTGCACACCAGCAGTATAAACATCAGACGCGAAAAGAAAATCCTGTTTGGGGGGCGCCTGGGTGGCTCAGTCGTTGAGCGCCTGCCTTCGGCTCAGGTCATGGTTCCGGGATCCTGGGATCGAGCCCCACATCGGGCTCCCTGCTCTGCGGGAAGCCTGCTTCTCCCTCTCCCACTCCCCCTGCTTGTGTTCCCTCCCTCGCTGTGTCTCTGTCAAATAAATAAGTAAAATCTTAAAAAAATAAAAAATAGGGTGCCTGGGTGGCTTAGTCGTTAAGCGTCTGCCTTTGGCTCAGGTCATGATCCCAGGGTCCTGGGATCGAGCCCCACAATTGGTCTCCCTGCTCGGCGGGAAGCCTGCTTCTCCCTCTTCCACTCCCCCTGCTTGTGTTCCCTCTCTCACTGTCTCTCTCTGTCAAATAAATAAATTAAAAAAAAAAAAAGAAAAAGAAAATCCTGTTTGTCCTGAAGGTACTTTGCAAACTTCAGTAATATTTTATTACTTAACTTATAATTTATAAGTTGCCTTCTTCAAAATATGATGCAAAGTGGCTTACTGGCCATATTTCATTTCCAGATGCAATTACAGAATTAGCAAGAAGTGGCATGTGGAAGTCTCCACTGCCCTGACTGGGGGGAAAAGGCGGCGGGGGGGCGCTCAGACGGCAGGCTTCCCTTACCCTGTCACCTCTATCCCTTTGGCTTTCAGCACTTGTGCCAGCCCGGAAAGAAGTCATTGCAGACACACCATGCTCAGATAAAGGTTGAAATCTGCTACAGCTCTAGTTACTGGAGAATTTGACTCCCTATTATCTAGCACCTAGCCCAAATTAAAAAATAGACTTTAGTAACTTTCATCCATTTTATCAAGCAGATTGAAACAAAATCAGTATCAAATCCAAGAAGTTGATGACATTCACCTTACTGCATATAACTAGAAGGATGGTTGCTGATGGATCCTATATACATTAGGGCCAATGTCAAATGTACTGTCCTTGCCCCCTTTAAATTCAGGGAAGCAGATGGGACCAGAGAGGTTGCATGCATTTCCCAGTTATACCGAATCCTCAGGGGATTTGTTCTCCCTCTGGGGAAAGGAAAAAAGAAACAGACTAACATGAATGTCTCAGAACTTCAAAAGAACTTTCATTTGAGATGGTTTCTAAATATATGGAACAGCTCTATTCTGATTCTCTTTCCTGCGAACTATAAAATAAATGATGAGGATTTCTGGTGGCAAATAAGCAGAGGGTGACTCCTTTGGGGCAAGGGCTCCCTTGTGCCCTGGTGCCTTTGCTCTTTCTTTCCTGTCTGGAATGCTCTGACCACTATGCCTCACTTCCGGCAAAGCCCTACTCATTCTGCATGAGCTGGCTCACATGTCACTTCTGTGAAATGTCACCCCCTTCTCTCTTTTCCTTCCCATTAGAATTAATCACTCCCTGTAAACTGGTATAACCTTTCAGGAAGGCAATTGGCAATACGTGTCAAAAACTTTAAAAATATTCTCTTCTAATAACCTTTACTTGGAAATAAATTGAAATGAACACACACGTAATTGTCACTACATTATTTATAATGGTGAAAAATTTGAAACCATAAATGTCCAACAACAGGGGAAGACTGGTTAATGATTGTCACATATCTTTATGTTGAGGTTTCCATGGAAGAGGCAGAGCAATATTAGAACTGACCAATATTTTATTAGTCATTACAGTTTCCTCACCAGTCAAATGGAAATTATCTAAGAATAGCAATCTCCATGCTAGGTATATAGTATTCACTCAAAACATGGCAGCTACTACTGTCACCGTTAATATGCCACCATTAATATGAGGTATGCAAAATATTGGTCATGTTATGACAAACTGCTTGTGATATAGTGTTACTGAAAAAACTGTATAAAATATCTATGTATTTCCATTCAAACAGTCATAAAGGAGGAAATGAAATTAGGGAGCTTGGAAGAAATGATGGGGGTATAAGTTATGAAAGTAGTTTGTTACTTTGTATTTTTTTAAACAACAAGCATATATTTGTGCATGTTTTTAAAAATTAAACAAAAATAAATAAAAAAATCTTTAAAAAAAAAAAAAAGGGGTGCCTGGGTGGTTCAGTCGTTAAGCGTTTGCCTTCGGCTCAGGTCATGATTCCGGGGTCCTGGGATCGAGCCCCGCATTGGGCTCCCTGCTCCGCGGGAAGCCTGCTTCTCCCTCTCCCACTCCCCCTGCTTGTGTTCCCTCTCTCGCTGTCTCTCTCTGTCAAATAAATAAAATCTTTAAAAAAAAAAAAAAAAAAAAAACTCTTCTAGGGGCGCCAGGGTGGCTCAGTCGTTAAGCGTCTGCCTTCGGCTCAGGTCATGATCCCAGGGTCCTGGGATTGAGCCCCTCATCGGGTTCCCTGCTCCACGGGAAGCCTGCTTCTCCCTCTCCCACTCCCCCTGCTTGTGTTCCCTCTCTCGCTGTTTCTTTCTCTGTCAAATAAATAAATAAAAAAATCTTTAAAAATTAAACAAAAAAAATCCCTACACACAAAGCTACATATTCATTTTGATTACAGCTATGTACATATATGCATTTAAAAAGTCAGGGGACAAAACCAAAATGATAACAAGAGTGGGAATTGTGGGTGTGTTTTTCTTTTTTGTTTCTTACTTTCTCAAATTCTGAGTAATGAATTTGTATGAGTTTATAATAAGATTCTGCAAGACAGTTATGGCAGTCAATACTCCAGTGATGAGATACGAAGCAGGCATGGAAATAAGGTCAGTTTTAAAAGGGACTTGCAGATTAAATTAAGGGGTTTGTCCTTTCTCCTGGAGGCAAGTGGAGCAGCTACGAGGAAGGTCTCCCTCCATGCTGTAAGGCGACTCTATCAGGAGTGG